AGGTCGGGCTTGGAGGTTGGTCGGTGGTAGGTTGGCGGCCACTCCACCACAAAAGAAAAGGCACGGCACACATACTCGGACCGATGTACCTGACGCGGATACAAGGGGTCCTAGGGCGCCTTTTCTTTAAGCATAATCCAGTGAAGGGAAGAATGAAAGCAGTTTCTTGCTTCCTGCGCCTATCATGGTTGGCGGTTTACGATCTCTTCAGCTGTCTGAACTAAAGCCAGTCAACTCGACAAAGAACATCCTGAGCAGTTACGGCAATTCACTCTTGGAGTTATTACAGTTGTCGTTCTTTTCTGCCTTTTTTCCGAAGCCTGTAAACCAGCTAAAAGACACTTTCATGGGGACCGTACCACTTTTCGTGATTAGGAAATTCCTTCTTTCATTTTTAGTAATAGCTCTCCGTAGAATCTCTTGACTAGTAAACATAGGAACTCATCCCATCAGTGCCTTCTTGTGAGTGCTAGTCAGCTACCATCCTTGATATAGGTTGTTCTCCTGTGCTCCTGTAAGAAGTCCTTCCTATACCTGATGCGCTTTTTCTCCTTTTTTGTTAATGTAAAGACCCAATTCGCCCGGGCTGGGATGTCTTCCGACCTAAGCGGGGTTGCACCGTAGGGACCGATAGTCTCCAGAGTGTTAGTCTGCAGCAGAGATTGTCAATCATCCAACGTCAAACGCCTTAATCCAGCAGTATACTTCTAGGTGTCAGCCAGTCTTTGAAACCAGACCGAAGTGCAAACCCCCGTTAACTAGCTAGCCTACCATACCACTTAGAAAGACGGTGACGAAAGTTGTCACAAATCAACCCTACTTCCTAGATCGGTCCACTTCGCTTCTTTGAGACCGTTTGCACCACTGTGAAAGGAGACAGCACGCGCGTCACAGATTGATTATCTATGCAAAAGGTTTTTTAGTTAAGTCTGGTTGATAGTGGATAGTTCTTGTTAACAAAGAATCACTGTCAATCTTCCTTTTTTAGGATTTACATGTAGTTATCTAACCTTTGGTTGGCATGGCAACTTATTCAGGAATGTAGCTTTCCCCCTTACTTATACCATTGTATACCCCTTTAGTCTTTCTAATGAGATAAAGAAGAGATAGTTAAACGACAGAGTTTAGGGATTCTTGCTTTAATCCGTCCCGCCATTCTGACTTAGGAAGGAATATAGTAAGGACGACTGCTTATCATCATCTTTGTATGAGTGAAAGAATGAACGAGATGACTATTTCATTTAGCCGAAGGCCTTTGACAAGCTTCAGACTAGTTCTAACCCCGATCCTTCTTCAGCAGATTCGTTCAAAAAGCCTTGCCTCTTTCCTCCTGCCGATCATCAGAGACATGAATCACATTACTTTTTGAATGAAAAGTTGGGTTGTCGAGTGATAGGGGTGAGAAGTGGAGCTCCCAGAACGAGCGAGCAAAGAGCAGAACGACATATGCAAGGTGGTAGGTGCCTCAATTAACTTGTTCCTTCTAAGGCAGTAAGTGAAAGGAAGCAAGAGCAGCGGAGGAAGATCAGTGCGAGCGTAAGGGAGGAAGTGAAGCAACGAAACGAAGGCAGGCAGGCGCGAGGTAGCACAGCGTAAGGGATAGAGGAGGTTTGATTGGACCCAATGACGTCCATCTCCAGGCTTCAAACGACCATGATGGCACGGTTGGACATGGTTCTGGGGCCCGGTGGATGTAGTCACCATGAAACTGGCGGGCATCGCACCCGGCGGGCATAGTCGCATGCCAATCCTTGATCATGGAAGGGCCAATAGCCAATAGTAAGCCAATCTCCGGATTCTGTCTTGAAATTGAGGTCCTTGGCTGATGACACCACAAATGCCGTTATGGGTCTCTTGAATGACCTTCTGCTTCTTGGTCCGACAGACACCGGCAGGAGCACTCCATCGTTAGGATTTCCGATACAACGTTTAGATTTGAGGTCGTAATGGAACACTCGGAGCACGTCTTCGGATACTTACCTTTTCTTTCGGTCATCTGGTAGTATCCCGTATTTATTGGATAAAGTCGATGAAAGGATATCTCAATCGTCGGAATTCCCACTTCGTCAACCGTTATTCGAACCGAACGTCGATTGCATTCCGCAAGTGCTCATAAGATGTCTAGCGGTGGTAGGATTCTTCTTTCGAAGACTGTGTGATATTATATGGGTGAACCCTCAGACGTGTCATGGAAGCTGCTAACCATCGAGTGCATCCGGCTCGGGCGTTTTTACCCTCGGCACATGTCTATGTTGAAGTACGTGAACGCATGTGCCAAACTTTATTCCCTCCGTGGATAAGGCGAGCGAAGTGAGGGCTTTCTCACTTCATAGACATTGTTCATTTGGTTACAATAAGGAGGGAATCGCCCCTGACTTCGAGTCTTCGGATTGCCAACTCCATTCCCATAATCGACGCTTGATACTCCGCAACTGTTGGGAACACGGTTGAGGAGAGCGAACGAATGCGGGATAAGATGCCCTTCTGGTGTGATGAAAAAAATGCCGACACCTGAGGACTGTTCTTTTCGTCCATTCATTCGGGAGGCATCGTCAAAGTACATTGCCCATGGGCTAGGGCTACATAATGCCAACCCAGGGCGAAGGGAAGCAGGGACAGGCAAGGATGCGAGAATAGATGGTTGTGAATAAACCAGTGCGCCGGGTCAACTTCACTCGGTCCTTCTTACTCCGCCTTACACACTGAGAACAATGAACAGACCTGGCTGATTCATAAAGTAAAGCTGAAGTGATAACGACGCGTACTCGCGCGATACGGCTTTTCAGCACGGGGGCAAGCTTAAGAGAGAGTAGGGCGATAGCGCTCTTATCTGTGAGTGATGCGTGGCGTGCTCTCGCTCTGATTGGTGAATCTATCTTTCTTGCCTTCCCTCCCTGTGGTCGGCGGTCTATCTTTTCTCGTTCTTGTCGGCTCTATCTCGATCCGGCACCCGATCCGTTTATGCTTCCGCCGCCCTGCTTAAACTGGTTTCGGGTAAAATACCACTCGGGCAACTGACCGATCGGAGTCTGTATCTCCAACGAATGTTCTGCTCCAGTATTTCCCACAGCTATCCCAGCTATTTGTGCTTGGATCCGGGAAACTCGATCCACCGGTATGGATCGAATCAGAAACTCGCCATGGGATTGCCACAAAAACCGGCACTGAATCTAGTTTAGTTGCACCTTGCCTATGACTCACCTTAGCTGAGGCATACGGAACTACGGATGAACAGAGCTCCTATAAAACAAGCTCTTGCTCTTAGAAAAAAACCTCGAGCACAGAAAACGAAGTCCTAGCAAGACCTTCTCTTCTCCCCGAACCGAACAAGACAGATTGTCTTTGATCCGCTTTCACAAGGCTTTGATAGAAAGAGAGAATAAGCTGACTTGAAAGAGAGATAGTACAGGACCAATGCCCCCGGTGCTTGCCGGAAAACTGCCAATTCTTTGGATTTTATCAACATTTTACGTAGGTAAGGATAAGAAGATCGAGGTCTGTCCTCTATTCCAAAGAACGTTTCGATGCATGATGCTTAACACAAGCTACCCCAGCCAATGGAAAGTTTAGGTTTCGTTCGCGACTAGGACAAGACACTTCCTACGGCCTCGACGCGCGCAGCCACTATTTTTGACTCCTTTTATGCAATTATGAACTCCACGGAACTTTCTCGATTCCAATGCAACTTATCCTTTTTGAGTTGACGTAACAAACTACGCGAGCCTCCCGATGAAGCCAACAGAAATCCTATCCGAATACTAAAAAGAAAGGCAGTTCTTCTTGTGGTATACCAGCCGCCAGTTCTGGAACTTGCAGTTCCATCGGAGTAATAGATCCGTAAATGGATTTGTATGTATAGCCACTTCAGTCGTGCTCGTCGTTTCTCGAATGGAAAAAAAGAATCTTTTTCTGGGAACATGGTAAACCAGAAATTCTTATGTTCGTGATTCTTCATCCACCGATGCAGAAAATGCCCAGTTTTCCATATCTTAGGCAGGAAGGTTTATTGGCAACAGGTCGACACGAAGTGATTCATCATGCTCAAACATGAACCGATCGCTCGTTGGGGACGGTTTATAAATCAAAAAATTACCACAAATGGAATGAGAAGTGGGTCCATGTAAATGATCGAGACCTCGCAAACAACAACGCCTCCTTACCCATATGGAGTTCGGACCAAAGGCAATCGTTGAGTGAACTGTATCTTATTCGTATTAGTTGACCTAAGCCGCACCATTATTGCTGGGGGTGGGCTCGGCCTCCGAACCGTACGTGGACGAGTTTCTCGCCTCATACAGCTCGGGCCCGAAGACCGCGGGGGAAGTTGAGGAGAGATGGGAGGAGCCAGCTTGCCGCGTCGGACGGACAGGAAACGGCGGATAAGCTTGCTTCTTCACAAGCTTATTCCCCACCCCAAAAAACCGCCCCTATAGCGCTTCGCGTTCTTTCAATTTATCCCAGTCCATTCCGGGATAGACGGCTAATACTAATCTCATAAGTGCAGTTAGTCGTCGTCTGACCAATCGGCTCGGACACAGATCGCTCGTGCCCGTCCAAACTACGATCATGCTCGCCCTAAATGAAATGGCTCTCTTAGTTACGCTGCGCCCCGACCCGAGTCCCACGTCCGCTTTTATCCCCGCAACCCGCTTTCTTTGCCAACACAACTTTAGGCCGTCCCCTTCATTCTATGCTGACCCCGGCGGGCTGGCTTTTTGGGAAGCCCGTTCCCACCGCGCTCACGGCCGCTGGCTGCCAGCGGTAGTGGAATTCTCCCGTTCCCTGGTAAAAAAAGGTTGGTTGGATGCGGGATCTACTCCACGAGACGGTACGGACGTAGATGATATCATCACGACCTCTCTTTGGCGTACCACTAGGTAACGCCACTTCGCCAACTGGCATTACCCGCGCTTTCGTCTCTCTCAGGTGGTCAGCACTGGGTGTTTCCGAGCAGCGAGGCTTACACCCATTCGCATTAGTTCATCCAAAGTTCCTTACCCTTATGCACGAATTTTGAGAATAAGCCATCTTCCTATCAAGGTTAAGGAGTCACTGAGCATCTCAGCGGCGGATTGCATTACCGCGATCGAATCAGAGTTCACGCCGCCGCCCTGAACAAATAGAGGCGTGGCCACAGGTCGCACATAAGCACCGGGTCGCACGACAGAAGAACACCCAACATAAAGATGCACACTCCTCCATGTAAAATAGGAAGATTCATCTTCACTTTTTTGTAGTAGTCGTGACCAACAGCCATCAGCAGTCGGCTCGTTGGTAAGGCGAGAGCTTCAAGCCCGATTTCTGGCGCCACACCCCCCAAACAAGCACCACTCGACGAAGGGGGGGCGGGAAAGCTACAGGCCCAAAACCTTCGACCCTTCTTTCTATATGGGGTGCCCGGGCACCTCATCTTGTCATTTCGTCGTTGCTCATTCCCGGTAGGCCGAAGTGTTTGGCCTTTCCTTCTCCGCGCCCGCTCACGCTTCGATGACCTATCACGGGGTAAAGAGAAGAGAGTACGAAAGAATTGTAAACAGAGCAGGCCGCCCAGAAAGATTCTAAATATGACAAGTCCCCCATGGATTCGAGAAGAAGGAAATGAAGAACGAACGAAACGAAATAAAGCATTCTAGCGGATGAGCTCTCCCAATTATATTTGGTAATAGAATAGGGCGGCTTGCTCTGACCAACACTCCACTTTTTTGCTCTGTCCATGGAGCGTTAGATTTCCTGGAATGTAGATAGACCAAAAAAGGAATTCAGGGATAGAATAGGAATTATAGTACCATGGAAGAAGGGGCACCAGTGGGAACATTCTCTACTGACGAACCATTTCAATAGTACGGTGCTGCCGTGCCACAAGGCACGACCATGGAAGTAATGAAAAAGAAAGTTCTGTAGTTGGACCATTTTGCTCTATCCGTTCGATTTTAGCTTCTCCAGAGAAGATGAGACGCTAAAAATAAATGAAAGTGTTCGCAACGCATACCGAAAAGGTACCATGTTGCCGACCATTAATGTAAGTTCGAACACCAGGAGCAGGTTGAACCAAGAAAAATTTGTTACTTTCCTGATGTTTCCGAACGTTTTCAATAAAACCTTATTTGTAGGAGTATTTTAACAAAGTTTCGGCGATACGATATTAGTAGATGCTATTCGAACCGTTCCGTTTTTATCCATGTCAGCATTTCTTATAGAATTATTATATCGGCGAGAGTCTCCCTACCCATGACGAACTGATAATTATTGTGCCTCCCATTATATTAAAAAGAAAAAAAAAAAATTTTTATTTACAGAATGATGAAATTCTGAAAAGTATATGCGTGAGACACAATCTACTAATTTGATCTATTTCAGATATCCTACTATCTCATAGTTTCTACTACTAGGATTTTATATAATTACCTCGGGCTAATGAACTATTTTAGTTAAATTCAACTCTTTAAATTCCCGAGCGATCACACCAAAAACTCGAGTTCCTTTTGGATTTTAATTCTTGATTAATGACAACCGCTGCATTGTCATCATATCCCATTATCATACCGTTGTCACGTTTGAGTTTTTTAGTGTGTACGTACAATTAAAGTCTAATTACTTCTGATCTTTCGAGAGCATATTGGGCACTGCTTCTTTGATTACAGCAACAATAACGTGCCAATATGAGCATATCGGTGATTAACCAGCTCCTATGATTCGAATACACATCAATTCTCGAGTTCCGCTGTTATCCGCTACATTCAAAAGGGTCTGAGGTTGAATCATATCATTTTTCTTTGAAAATAAATTTATTTCAATCCAAAGGATGAGGAAAAAAAAGAAAGATTTTTGTCCAGAAAGCAAAATAAAGAAACCTGTGTTTGTTTTTCATCCTCAAGACCCCGTTTAGTTCTACATCCTATCACTGAACAAATTGAGTTTGTATAGGCATTTTGCACGCAGCTATTTCAATAAGCTGCTCTGGCTACAGTTCTTTGACTCCGCCCATTTCATAAAGTATTCGACCCGGTTTACAACGGATACTTATATATATATTCCGGGAATCCTTCCCGAACCCATACGTGTTCCGTAGGTCTTACTGTAACATAAGCAGGTTTCGGGAAAAATATAAGTACCCATATTTTCCACCACGACGCGCATATCGTGTCATTGCTCTTTCGCTCTGCTTCTATTTGTCTAGCTGTGATCCAAGCGGGTTTCAAGTGCCTGAAGAGCGTATCGCCGAAACAAATATATTTGCCTCGACAAGATATTCCTCATTCTTCCTCTATGTTGTTTACGAAATCTGTTCTTTTTGGGTATAAGTTGATGTTGTTTCTTAATTCCATCTCTACTGCAGAACCGGACATTAGAGTTTCTTCTCATCCAGCTCCTGCCGAATGAAAAAAAAAAATGAGGTTAAAAAGAAAGAAGATTTCTTGTCTTGGCTTATCTTACTACCGCGAGCATCGGGCTAAAGTGAAGATCGACAGTTTTCTTCAATTGCTTTACTGAACGCGGAAAATCCGCCGAAGCTTGACAAATCTCTTTCTAACGACGAATCCATGCTCAATGGGCTTCTTTAGAAATGACTGAAACGGAGGAGGAAATCGACTCACGAAGGGCTCGGTAGTCCTTCTCTAAATTACCTGATATTGCGGATAGGCGAGACAGGTGATCAGGTCGAAGCTCTTATAAGCGTTGCCCTATTGAGTAAAGTTGAATACTTAAAACTTTAAAAGAATCGATTTCAAATGTCGCAGTTCGAGTTGAGAAAGATAGTACGAGTTGGAGATAAGATTAGATTAGAGTCGGTAAGCTATGTCATTAGTGAAGGAACAAGGCTAACAAGGGCTTTCAGCGCCTGTTCTTCCTGCTTTTGCTTTCTCGATTGAAATTGATGACGTTAATTTAGTGCTATACTACAAGCAGACTATACGTCAAGCTGAATCAGAAACCATTAACCAATGACTTTTCTCTCCTCTGAACTGAACTAAGCAGAGAACTGGAAGAAGTCATCACTCGCCGAGGGAAAGCGACGAGACCTAGAAAGGAGGTACGGTCCTGATCTGATTGAAAAATTGCATTTCTTAAAAGAATGAAAGGAAGCAACCCGTATCTGCTTCTCAAGCTAGAACCGACTCCTTACCAGTCGTCCTCACTACGTTCGCCTGCGCTACAGGCTCAGGAAAGAAAGTAAAGATATTAGATTACCGAACTCACTAGCTCGGAAAATGACTTGTACTTCTCGTTCGGGGATTGCGATCGATTTTCCGCATTATCTCGAAAGCAAGCATGACTTTAAGCGACCGATTCGGAGCATTTGACTTTGAACGAGCCTCATCTTTTCTTCACTTAACTGAATTTGTTCACTTGACGAACTGAACTACCGCCTTACTGAATTGATGAACTTGACTGCTTTACGATAATCTCGTCATCAAGACTATCGCCTCGAGTGCGGGTTTTTCTGCCTGTTTTAGCTAAGCTTGCACCTTTAATCAGGAAACGACTCCTTTCCTGCGGCGGATTTACCGTTGCAGTTGTGTACTTCGCAAGACTTATCATTTCAAGAATTAGAGTCCACTTATAAAAAGCAAAATACGTGAAAAAAAAAGAAATATATATTTTATAAGTGAGCCGCTAGTTACGAACTTTCACTTATTCCTTCGGGAAAATGCCATCCAATGAAGCTTAGCGATAAACCAAAGCAATATTTCTTTCCATGACTTAAATAGGAAGATTGGCTTTCATCGGGGGTGCCTTTTACGGGTAAGACCCCCTTCTTTTGCTCAGCAGCAGCTCGTGGCGTGTGGGACTGCCCAATCTCACGGCGTCATTGTCTTTCTTTCCATCCGTCTTTGCCCATCTCTGTCTTCAAACATAGGCCTATATCTTGGTCCGAATGGGACCAGTTCACCAAAAGCTTACTTAGTATGATCATTATAGGATTCCCCTGGATCGTCAACTAGAACCGGTTCACGCCCATCTACTGCTGAAGTAGTCCATAAAAAAAAGATTGCTCAATGCTGTCACGACTGGTACATTCACCCCCTTGGCCTTCTTTATAATAGATATCATCTTCTTCTTCTCGATCCTAATTATAGTGGTACGGTGGAAGGAATAATCTTGTATGGCATCTCCAGCCATGTAATGCGAGATGTATCTTTCCAGAAAAGTTCTTTCAAGTGCAATCACAAAGAGCATGGACAAGTATAGCACATAGAATGGGAAGCCTGCTCACAAATACAAAATATATGCCAATCGCGGGGTCCCACTGTCCTTCGATACGGAAAAAGGATATGGCGCCTCCCCCTAGGTAAAGGAATTGACTTGCTAACAGCCTTTATATATGCAACCCCTCCTCTTCTCTCTTCTCTGCTTCTACTATTTCTTCCCTCCCTCTCTCTTTTCCTTCTCTCTGCCCGCTCTCGATTTCTTATTTGTTTGTCCGTGGGATTAGCGCCCCCCAAGCAAGCGGGTCAACGCAATCGACCCGAAGCAATCGATGATTCGTCCGTCGTCAGGTCCTGATAAAGGATAGGCGGCCGGCTTTGCTCATGGCATAAGAAGAAAAGAAGCGAAGGGCACCTACCGACCTTCACAGACAAGACATCCATCTTCCAAAGGGAGCAGATTGGAGCCCAGTGCCTGCAACAATTAAGGAAGATATTTCCTGTAGGCTCCTTTGTTTAGCAGAGCGAATAAGACGACGCGTTGATCACGCAGGTTATGACCTATTCGACCGAGAAAAGCCTTCTCTCATTCAATTCCAACAGCTATCTTCAATAAATCACGGATACTTCACAAATATTGGGAGGCCTAACGAGGGGTAAAGGATGAAACTCATGATAGAAGAGCCAGGGAAAGTGAAACTAGTCGATCTAGCCATGAGCTGTCCTTGCAAGCAGAGAAGGCAAGGAAGGTTGTGATTAAAGCTGACGAAAACAAAAAATAGCACTTTTCACAATTAACAAGCATAGACTCAACTATAACACTATAGCACCTTAAGCCAGTCTTTTGCTGAGGGTCTGGCACTTATTAATACTAGGAGTGAAATAACCCGGTATGAGTAGACTTCTCCTCTTATAGTTATGTTATCATAAGTAGCTAGCCAAGCTCCTATCCAAGAAAAGAGAAAAGCTTTCTCCGCTCTCGAAAGGGGATGGCAGCTAGAAGTAGGAGGGGGAGGGGAGGGCTATTAATCACATAAATATATGGCCACATCTGCTATCTGTCCTAAAAAAGATAAAGGCCTCTCTTTAGGCATTAAAACACGAGTTTCAGGGGTCTCAGCTATCACCCGAAGAGGACAGAAAGATATCCCGAATCGTCTGCTAATCTTATCTTTTTCTTTTCTCGATGCGAAGAATAGCCCTAGTCTTTTACCAGGAAAGATCAGATGCCGAGAATCGTCTGCCTTCTCTTTCCCGCAAGGAGATCCATTCCTTTCCTATTCCTAGTTCAGGAAAGCAGAATGATTTGAGTGTTCCGGGGAGATCGAATGTTAACTAGCTAACTCGATGGGACGTCGGAGCTAGCCGGCTTTGAAGGAATAGGAATTAGGTAAGAAGCAAGGACCGATTGGACAGCGAAAGCTAAGCGACAAAGAGCAGGAAGAGGTTTAGGAATAAGTAAGAAAGCAGCAAATCCTTACTCGAAGAGAGTTCAAAGCCATGTTAGAGAGAAACCACCGCGGCCATTAATAAGTATTTTGACCGGTCATAGCCCTAGTCTTAGAGCTAGAGAGTTAAGGGAGAAGTAAGAAGGCAAAATCATTTATGATTTTTATTTGAGAAGAATTCATTCCTCTACTGGAAAGCGGTCGCTCAAGGGAGTTTTGACTGTATATAAATTAAAATGAAAAAGGCCCTTTGCCTTACTTTGCTTGCTGGCTCTAAGCCCACTCCTTACTACATTTTTTGACTACCCTTTCGCTAGGAATTCCCAAAAGAAATAATGAGAATTCAGCCTTCGTCCTTCACTCGATCTTAAGTTAAGGATTTTCTCCCAAAGAATTAGGAGACTCGCCTTTTCAAAGA